ATGCCTTAAACATAGATTAAAAATGTTTTTAAGTACTATGCTTTTTGGTTCACTTCTTTCGCTTGTATGCCTAACTGTAAGCGAACCGATCTTCGGTGCTTAATGTGCAAATCGCCTAATTTGTTAGAAAAAGTCTATGATCTTGAGAAAAGCCATAACGTAGACAAATTCGACACTGAATCTTTTGTTGTCTTAAACACTGGTTTGAAAATCTAGAAATCATATTTTTGACGCTTTTTGAAATGAAACAACGTTATACAAATCTTAATGCTAGTATAACATATTTTTTTTTGCATCCAAGAAGACCGCCTTAAGGGAACATTCAAAGCTAGGAATCTTGAAAAACCATTATGTAACTATGAAATTTTTGCGCATAAATAAATCAAACAAAATGATTTTAGGGTATTACGCAGTAAGTGATGCTGTAATATTGCAAATGTGGAATTGGCACGACCCCAAAAAGGTGCTTTTCCCTTCCCAAGGCAAAAGACCAAACGAGGCACTGTGGAAGGACGCGAACGGTAAAAATTACAATGCGTCTGGATTCATTTATAGATGACTATTTAGCATAAGGTTTTTTTCCTAATTTATGATATCTTGATCATTAGTCCTGCTATTCTGATTGATGCTAATGTCTTAGATAAACGCTATTAGTCTCCTTTTTTCTCATAAAGTTTCAAAGCAAAAACATTAGCAGATTTTAGGTCTGCCATCGAGTAAAACAGTGTATCAACTCATAACGGGAAAGTACAAAGACGATGAAGCTGTGCAAAAAATGTGGCAAGAATACCAAGTTGGAGTGAGTCAAACACAAAAGTCCATTTTTGCATTTTCCCCCCATAGTTGATTTTTAGTTGTTATCGAATAGAATTCACCAGTCTCCTCTCGCACATTTGCAATCCGATGCTGGATTTGCCGACAGTATGTTGTGAGTTCACAAGTTTTTTCTTTTGCATTGACATTGTTCAAATAGGGAACCAGACACTGACTGATATTGAATAACTTTTTTTCCCAGCATTTACCTTCCCGCGGACAAGATTGAATATTTCTCGGATCTCGTGCAGATATTTGATGAGGCAAAGATTCCTAAAGGATTTGCAGTAGCTAAGTTTCTGGACACAGTTGAAGTGGAGTGGTAAGTACCCGCAGTAATGAAAACGAAGCTTGTTTCTTCTAATAATCGCATATCCTAAAGGTAAGTAGAGGGATAAGATGTGAAATTTCTGCGACATTTTCTTCCATGTTTTTTGGTAAGAGCGACAACCAACCATTTAGTAAAAATACGTATTTAACGAAGAAAAATCTAGCTGAATTTTAAAAAAATCAAGAACATGCACAGCGCGTGGAGCAAGACATTTCTATAAAATTTAATAACATAATTTGCAGGCTACCATCTTTGGCGAATGTACTCACCAACGATGGGAAGGTTGATACTAAGAGTTTAATACTGGCGAATCCCACACGATTTTCCGAGCATGCCAAAATTGAGGAGAGGAAGTTGTAAGAGTTTCAAGTTTTTAGGCACTCTTCTCATATTCAATGCCATGAAATTCAATTTCGAACAGGTTTTGCAAAACAATCATTGCAACATTCAAAAGGATTCTCTTGGACGAGGTGTGATAGCAGCGGGTGGTTAAGGATCACTTGAGGTCTCTTTGCAAAAGCCATACGATCAAATTGTGAAACTTTTAACAGAATAAAACTTTCATGTTATGATTTAAGGATATTTTAAGTGTACTTGTGCATTGAGCAACAGAGCTCAAGGTTTTTCCTAGCAGACTTGATGCCTTACTGTCCTGTGGCATTTGAGAGGGAAGAGTGTGACAACGCTCAACCTTTTGAATACGGTAACGTTTGGATCGGATAAGGAGATGAATCGCAATTCTTTTCAAACCGTCTGTTACTTTGGTGTTATCCGTGCGCATTGTGTTGTTCGTGGACGATACAGTACCCTCAGACAAACACTAGAAAAACAGACTGTAGCTCTATGTCTCAGATGTTCATCCCAACCAGAGATATTTTTTGGTAACTGTAGCAAATA